TACAAACGACAAATTTGAAAAATTGAGGCTAAACTTTTCAATATGCGCGAACCATGACTGAGCTCCTTTATTTTAGATTATCGCGCTTACCGTCATAGGCTTAGGATGCCGACTTCGAGTTGTCATACCAGATGACGTTGTGCTATTCCCATCATTATCATTGTCACCTTCACCAGGCGTTTTCACAGTTCTGCTTACAAGATGGTTTTCATCTACAAAAACAGAAGCTCACTCAATATACCAAAATTGACAGGTTTTGTAGCCTTCAAAGAATTTTCAGGGAATTTCAAGGAACTACCTTACTTTTCAAGGGCATGTTACTGAAAAATCTGTACTGTTATGCATTACAAAAAACCATTTTACATGAAACCTTCAAGTTTTATTTTTTAAGTTAACTTATTTTCTATGCAAGAGATTCACAATTAGTAACCAGTGATGGAAACAGTTCACAGTTCAAGCACTTTTTACATGAAGTACCACATACCTTTTTGAGGCTTTCCAGGCTTTGACTTTTCATTTTCAAATTCAATTTAACTTTCAACAAACCTCAACCATTATGATAATTCAAACTCATGATCAGTCACTGATACATGTATATCATACTCTTAGTTTTATTGTTTAACGTGCCAAAGGCTGTGAAAACTAACCTTCAACAGACAAAGACCTCCCAATATGTGACCTATTACTGAAAAAAGAAAACATACAATTATTACAGTATTTCTTTGTTAGTGTAGGTGCTGTAAATAAACTGTAAATGTTTTTTATAGGTTGGGATGTGACAAATGGTTTATCTGTGAGTATAGTTTGGGGGATTTTCATATATTTTTGTTTGGGTTGAATCAGGAAAATGATGCAATCTTGGATGTAATCTTCAATTTGCCTGGATTCCCTTTATGCTATTCTTAACGATTTCTCTGTAAGTGTCAAATAATGAAACTCCCTCAAACCTTGAGCTCGTAGAGGATGTAACAGAAGAATCTGACACTGTACTTGTCGATCTTTTGAGAGTTGCCTCCAATGTTTTTTGCGTTGCTGCCTGCTCTTGAAGTTTCAGAGCCTGATTCTGTTGCTGTTCCTTTTCACAATTAACCCGAGCTTTATGCTCAGCTAGAAGCTCATCGAAAGGTTTCCGTCGCCCTGGTACTGCACGTCGTAATGAAAGAGCATGTGTCTGAAGTGAATAAATTTCATTTTGATGTTAGCTAATGGTAGGCCATGTCTTGATTTTGATAGTGAAGCACTGCTAGGGATGGGTTTTACATGTATGTGACTCCCGGTTTAAAACTAGACATTTTTTGACAGCTCTGTCCTTATTGGATTAATACAAGTTTGAAATTCAGCTTTATTATTTCAGAATACTGGTGTCACATTACTTCAACTCTCTATAAGCTGGACACCTCTCTAAGAGGCACAGTTGGGGTTGGCACCATTGGTGTCCATCTTTGAGAGATTTGATTGTATTCAACTTGTAATAATTCTAAAAAGTTTCATTAACAGATGAGATTGTGTTCCAAAACTACATGTATTTGGTAATATAATATGAATTTCACTTCCCCACATTGAAATTTGCTGCAACATTCAGCGCATGTCTACATGTACATTTCCACTTTGAAGTCCAATAGCTGTTATTACCAGTTAACAGCAGTTTGACATACACCAAGGCGAAAGGGTCCATTCCACTTTGCACTGACCTGTTCACCTCATTTGTATGCAGCTATTGACCGTCAGGTGTCAATCTTTGAGAAGTGTCCATCTCATAGACAGATTAGTTAACCATAAAATGACTGAAAAATATCAGAGATCAATGACAGCTGTCTGTCTTATAAACCCCCTTAAGAAAGCGTTTACTGACTGTGTACATTATACAATTTGGCCCACCTTGCAAGTCAGTGAGCGAGTACACCTCTTTTGGTGTTCAGCTACCCACACTCCACAATGCTTGTCTGCATCAAACTCTCGTTCTGAAATTGAGACAAAGCAAAACAATGAACCAGGTTTAAAAAATACCTAGTAACTCTCTTACCTGCTATTTATACCTAGTTGTCCCCTTTTGTTCACTTTGGTGGCATATCAGGCAAGTTTGGTTTAGCCATGGTTCTGTTTTAGCAAGAAGTAGTCAAACAAAAACCCCATGGTGAAACAAAATGAACCTAATATGCCACCAAAGTGGAACAAAAAACGTACAATAAGGTAGCATTCACTGCACCCAAATTCTGCCAAGTGACCATGATATCATAGCCCTATCAGATCAGTGACATTTTATCGCAGGATATCAAGACAGTAGACATGGCTGCTGATTAGCCAATAGTGCAGTCCCAATAAAAATACCAAACCCACCCCAAGGAAGGTTAACCAAAATTCCAAGGGGGAGGGGGGGTTTCCAATAACACAATTTTTAAAGTAAAGTATGATGCTAAACCAAAATGTCCTGAGGGGTGGTTGGTTCAAACCAAAAAAAAAACCTTTCATGGGGGAGTATGGATATTTTCATGAACAATACATTGTAAATTTCGATATGGTAAGTCACAAAACTACCCAAGGCAAAACATTTTGCAGCAGATTTTGTATTTCCTCTGAGCAAAGACAGAGGTTGCTTCATGGTTTGCTAATATCTCCCAGATCAAGTGACCTGGGTTCAAGCACTGAAAAGGTCACTATGATGTGCTCTTAGGGAAGATACTTTGAATTAATCTGACAGTGTCTCTCTCCAATCAGGAAATCAATATAGTATCTAGTATCATCCAGCAATAATTGGCCTGCAGATACTGTTCTGTGGTCGTGGTCAACTTTCACTCCTGATCATTTTACCGTTCCAGAAAATATCCATACCCCCGGGGAGGGTTATTGGACATTCCAAATGCAGGAGGGTCTCAAAAGNTAGAATTTCCTGAGGGTGGGTGGGGGTCTGTAAGACCAAAAAATTTAAAGAAATGTTTAAAGCTTAATTGGAATTTCCAGAGGGGAGGAGGTTCTTAGAAATAGTCCCTTCCCTGTGGGAGGTACGGATATTTTCTGGAACTACATATTCTTATATTTTTCCATTAAGTATATGTATAACTGAGAGAAATAAACATATCGATAAATCATCAAATTCTCTTTACTTGTACTAAAGGACAGGTACAGAGACAGTTAGGAGAGTTTTCATTTTGAACTCACCTCTTGTAGGAATCTGTTTTCTAGGAGACTTTTTATTGCTTGTGGGCTTTTCACTTGAACTTTTCTTCAAGATGACATTATTACTAATAGGTTCCGTTTTAACAACAGTTGCAGAGCGGCTGTGATTAATACATGGAACTTTTAAAGGCATTTCCTCTATTTTTACTGTCATGTCCATGAGCTCAATGTCCTGGTTTGTGATAACAGAGTCGTGAACTTTTCCCTTCCTCGAGCCTGACTGAAGAAGTGTCTCCACCATTGTACTTGATGTCGTCACCACCTCAGGAGGAGAAGGGGTAGGAACAGGTATAACTTTCTGATGATGAAGTTCTGTAGGGAGAGAAGGTTACAAATAAAAGTCTTAAAAAGGAGCTCTTTTTTTACTAATGCTTAATACTTGCTGGCTGTATTGCCCTATGTTGAAAACTGAAAATAATTTAATTAGTATTTTGATTCAGTTTTAGCAGACATCCAGTGTGTTCTAAACTTGGAAATCCATGAATTTTCTTGGTTCTCAACTACCACTGGTTTTACACTAAATTTTCCTTCCAAAACTTATCACATGGCCAGTATGATTTTGTGAGGGCATTATTTAACAATTAGATTATGAGCTTGAGATTTCTATTGCCTGATAGTTCAGGGGGTACGGTGTGAGTCAACTATCACGCAGAGAAATTGAGAGCAAATAATCTAATTATTCTAGTATAAACCTACTAGTTGTTCAAAACCTCATCTAAGCCCTCTTCACAAATGCGTACTTCAAAAATGCAATAAGTGGCTGCCATTTTGTTAACAACTGCACACTGCTACTAGGCTACTTATTATCTACAACAGAATAGATAGTAGGTAGCGTAGCCAATCAGAGAATGGCATTTGTGATAGAACTCTTGTAGATTTCTACTAATAAGGCGATAGAAATCCCACAAGTGACTATCTAACAATAGTGTCCCCACAGTTAAATTAAAGTAGCTCATAAAACGCAGCTTCAGATTTTTAGATGAAGGTAAAATAATTTATGCTCCCTTATCATTTTCAGTCAAAGCCATNTGAACATTCAAGGTTAATAAGTTGTTTATTATATGGCTTTTTGCTTTGTTTTTGAAGGGCTGTAATCAGCCCATGGGCATTACAGGAGAATAATGCCCTAGATTTAGCCAATCAAAGCGTACATTATATTGGCTACAAATACAAGCCAAATAATAATTAATAGTATCGACTAACCATATTATAAATTTACATAGACAAGGTGTAAAAGAACTATACGGATACATTCATAGAGCTTATTTAAAAATATTCTCAAGTTTTCCCTTTTGTGAAAACAGAAACAGAAACATTGACAAAAAGCTTTCTATTTCTATAAATATGGTAAATGACTTGATGTACACTACAGCATACATCTAGTTATTTTAAATTTGTAGTAGCAAACGAAATTTTCATGAAAATTAAGAAAATAATAAAAGAGTTTTATGTCCAGATAGTGTAACAACATCCTAGTCTAATTGGTGACACTCTATATGACCAGGAAAAACTTAACAATTAAAAGATGTGAGCTTGTATTGATTCAATTTCAAGGAAGACAGTAAACACTTTATAATGCAAGAGTGCAAACTGTTATTTTAGCATCATAATTAAGTTCCAATTGAAAGGTATAATTTGCCACAAAAATTGGAATCAAAATAACACCCTTATATTGGTTCTCTGTTAAAAACTGACAGAATGTTATGACATTTGGAGGGTCTTTGTTTTACACGCGTAAAAGATGTAAAATTATGAAGAAGGACTGACCGCAATGACGTAAAAAAGCCGCTGCTTTCACAACTCGACCACATTCCTTGCAAACGACGAGAATGATGTCTTCTTGCTCCGGGCAAATCCCGAACAGGGTCATATCTATGATCAAAAGCGTAAAGCATATAAAAGTTAATCATCATGTACCGCTTACATTATTAATAAATGGGTAAGCCACTCCAAAAAATTAAAGCACGTTTGATTTCGAGCTATTTGTTTGGAGCAAACCCAGATACCTTCATTCTCTCGCATGGCAGCTTCAGATGAAGAGCTAACTCTATTTTAGAGAGCGCTCTTTTGACGGGGGTGCACACACATGCAGTTCACACGACATGTACCATGCTAATTACATTCAACCTGCGAGTAACAGTTCGCTGTAGTAAATTCTCCCGAGGGCGGAACAAACTATCAGGCATTTTGTGCAACAATATCTGATTTTTCTGAGTAAATATAGCCTTCAAAAGTCACGCTACCTACCTTCTCTGTGCAATCGCGTGGCTTCTGGAGAACCCAAACCATTGTTTTCGTCCACTTCCATTGCTATCGTGGAAAGAATAATACACGGTAAATCCCCTGAAAAAAGTTTTTCTAGCGTTTTTTCAGTCAACTACGGGCACAGATCGATGGCGTAATAACTGCACATACCTTCTGGTTCCCCCAACGGCGAATTTTCTTCGAAGGAACTCCATGAGCTCCCAGAAAGTAAAGAATGACAGTGAATTTTCGCCATTACAACTTCATTCCCGCTCGGATGTTGCTTTCTACCAATTCCGTGACGTCACTGTCGGAATGAAACGTACGGTCTCGGAAGATGCCGACGATTTCCGACCTGGAAATGTCAAGAACATAAGAAGTGATGTGATAAATGCTAAATTTGACGACTTTTCGACAACTTACGGGTAAAATCAAAGTCATACTGATCTAAGAAACATACTTCAGATTTCAAAATTTATAATGTAATGCAATCTATGACGAGAATTTTTCTCTTGAGCTGAAGCAAAACAAAGAAAAATACACAACTGTTCGAACGGGCAGCCATTTTGACTTGCGAGTTAAAAGGTAAATAAAAGGAAGAGGACGAACATACTACCTAATATGCCTTGAAATAAATACGATTATGCACTTCCGATCAATTCATTGCACAAATTAGACGTCGCCATAGTGCATCATGTAAATTTCTCCCAACAAATTGATTCCGCCATTTTGTACTTTGCATCGGAAGTGTAGTGTGGGCGCGTAAAACACCAGCGGTATCCTAATTAATCACATGCTTACCAGGAAATTTTGAAAAAATGGCGGACGAAATTGTGTTGAGCTTTCACGATAGTCTTCTTCGGGAATCGGATCTCAGTTTGCTCCAGGAAGGTCGTTGGCTGAATGATAGGCTGATAGGATTTGTGTTCGAGTGAGTATAGTTCTACTCCTAGTATAGTTCTACTGTTTCAGGAGTATACTTATTAAAGATTAAAGATTAAAGATAGTGAGTATTACTATTTTGAATTCGAAATCTGATCTCCACAGCGGGCACTTTTGTTTGTGTTTAATACTGAAACACGCGCTAAATTAAGCTTATTTCACAGCAAAAGCCAAAACTCTTTCGACGCCAAGAATGTTTTGTCGTGATAGTGATAGAGTGCCACTTGTAAATGTATGTTGTTAAACAGAGCCCTTCAATGTGCTATTTTCCTCCTCTTTCTTTGCCATTCAAGGGCCAATTTGATTAGTGTAAACTGCAGACAGTCTGCAGACCTCAAACTATCCCTATGTTCTTGAGGTCCAGATTGAGTTCAGTGATAGCAGATTTCACCAGTTTATACAGTGCTTTGATTTCGTAGAATAGAAACTAATGAATGCTTCTTTCTTCATGACATTCAGTGTAAAGGANGTGCTGTAGTTTACTTTAGCACAAGAGACCACTAGGATTTTGGCATTTCACCCTGAATGGGATGTTAATCCATTGTGGGTTAATACCCATTGCCTTGCAAGAATCAGACTGCTCAGTCATCAATGAATTCATAAACTGAACACTGCCACATAGATATCTTACTCAATATCAACGGATTGCCAATACAACAATTTTTGTCAAGTTTCACTTTGTGGAGCATTTTTCTGATAGGTTAAGTCTGCATATGAGCCCAGAAGCCCACTAGGCCAGTGCCTATCTCTGGTTTTAGTAGCATGAAGTGACTAAGAGTATTTCTACTCCCCCCTGGATGGGATGCTAGTCCGTTGCGGGTAACTTCCCATTTGCCTTTTGAGAATTGAACTGCCCAGTCGTCAACAAATTCATAAAATGAACATTACCAAGTTAGCATCGTACTCAATATTAAGGGATTGCCAACTACAACAATTTTTCTCAGGTTTATTTTTGTGGAGCAATTTATCAGTATTCAACTATTATTCTCCCACATAAACAGAGAATGTGTGAATAAAATATGACACACAATTTGGCTAGGCTTAAACAAAAGATTGTGCTAAAAAATTTAAATGATGGGTCGTTCTGTTTTTATTCTTACAGCTAAAGGAAGCCCAGCTTTTGTAGAAAGCAGGTGTCCTCAACAAACAAACAGTTACGTTTTTATTTCCTGCTCTTCTAATATTACATACATATTTGAATGTACAATCTAAAAATGGGTTTATTTAAGCTATTTGATTAATTTGCTGCATGGTAAATTCAGCTGTTTGCTGAATTTAGGGCAAGGTCAATCTGACTACAGTTGAAGCTCTCTTAACAGACGCTCTCATAAGCAGACAGCTCTACTTACGGCCGCCTTGTTTGAAACCCCGTTTAAGTCCCATACAAACTCTGTATTTTTTGCATTCTCGTAAGTGGACATTGCTGTAAGCGGCCATGGACACTTTCAGAGATTACCACTCAGACTTTTTCTTTGTTTTTAAGCTCCCGTAAGCAGACACCCCAAAGAAAATCCTATTAACAACCTCTGTATCTTGTTTTATCAATCAACTTCACATCGCCGTTCATCACAATGATTTTACAGTAACTACAGTACCATATTTCAATGTTCGTTTTGTTGTCATCCATGTCCGGTTACATTGCGAAACAACACTTACATGCATAGGCTCCTGTAAGCAGCCATCTATCCCCTACACCTCTAGTGGCTGCTTACGAGAACCATTCTCATAAACGGCCAGCTCCAGTTATGGCCACTTTTTTCACGTTCTGAGGGTGTTCGCTTACGAGAGCTTCAACTGTATTGAGGTGCAATTGTGATATAACAAATTTAATGAAACGACAAACTTCCTTACCTGAATTGTGACCCCCCAAAAAGCATCATGGTGTACTTCTCAGAAGATTATGGATTGAGTATGGTCAAGTAAAGCAAGAAAAGCACTTTTCCACTTACAGTACAACTATTCGAACCATGCCACTTGGAAAAGAGTTAACCAATCAGAATGTTACTTGAGAACAAAGGATAGCGATCTTTTTCTCAAATAACCGTGATAACATTGATGAATATGAACAGTAGATCTGAACAAAATTGAAAACGCAACAAAGTGCCAGGTGTTGCGAACCTCTTGGGAAACTTTGCCATTTGTTCATTGGTTAGTTTCAATCCTAAATTTGTACGCTTTTCAATGGTTACGCTTTAGTTGTTGCAAAATGAGTTTTCAAGCCATATTTTTGGAGCAAGATTTGTGACTATGACATCTGGTAATTCACCATCAAGGACTGAATCTTTAAAATTGTTTATAAGGCAGAGGAGTCCATGGTGTTTGTGATGCTCTCAGTTAATCTTTTGATTGGTTAGTTTTCCTCTAGGTGGCTAGGTTTGAGTAGTTGCACTGTTAAGCCCAATCAGGGCTTGGGCAGATTCTTGCTTTCCTTGTGGTTCATCTGTTGCTTCCTTTATGACCTTCTGAAAAAAAAGCTTTGAACAGTCTATTTAATGTGGTTTCAAACTCAACAGGTTATGACTGCGGTGTCTATGTCATTTGTGTTGCTGAGGAACTTTGCAAAAACTTCCTTGCCAGTAAGGAAACATCTCTGAGTGACACAGTAACAGCAGAAAATATTCAACAAAAGAGGAGAGCACTGAAGAAACTTATCCTTGACCTTGGGCAAACAAAGACCTGAGTAATGAATGCAAAGACAATCATGCTGATTGTCAAGATTGATCTTAACACCTTCTCCAGAAGAGTGTTGGAACAACAGCATCCTAGCTTGGGGAAGGCTGACGCAGGACTGTCGAACCCTAGAAAGATACTACAGAACTTGTGTCATTTTTAGAAAATTTAAATACTTTTTATGAAGGAAAAACATGAGCACATGCTAAGAACCATGTTTTTGGAAGGTGATCTCCTTGAAAATGTCAGAAATGTGAGTGATAATTTATTAGGAAAATGGTAAAAAGGACTGGTTTTAAACAATGTGACTTCCAAGAATGTGTTGAATGTTTTGAAATATCAGTTATATGGTCATGGTTATATACCCATCTTTCTGGTAAAAAGAAAATAAAATTAATATTAAAAAATAATATAATTAATATAAAAATTTAAAAAAACACAAACAAACAGAAATAAAAAAATATTTCAGTCATATCTGATTCCTAAGCCCACCCCAAATGCCTTGCAGTTTAACTTGCAGCTGTGTTGCAAAACAAAATTTTACTTGCTAAATTATGCATGTAACTGCTGCTCACTGAATCTTCAGTTATTTGATTATAAACATTCAGAATAATTAGGTTAGAAGGCAACATCATTATGCTCCTAACCTAATGCTTTTGGAAAAATATTCAACAGTCCTCTTGGACAATCTGTAAAAGTGAATACCACACATGTTCGCAGATGCTGTGATCATTTTGTTCTGGGCCTCTGGTATTTTGGACACTTTGTGACATTTTGTATAGATCAATAATGACCAGAACCTGAGACTTGGTAGCTTCCCCTGTGGCAGCCCCAGGGGTGGGGGTCTCCTATATAAAAACAACGGTGTTGTTCCTTGGAAATTTTGAAAAGAACCCCTAAGAGGTAACTAGATCCCGTTTTATAGGCGTGGCCCAAAATTGAAAATCACCCCTAAGAGCAACCTCTTCCCCCCACCTTTAAGGGAAAAGCCATGGGGACAAGGTTGCCCCGAGAGGTACCAATTCTAAAACAACACATTATCTACTGTGATATTTTTCTGGCTCAGTACCCTTTATTGCAAAAACTTCTGCACGTTGTGGACCTTTTAAAGGCTGGACTCCCTAAGAGGTACCAAAATAGAACCCCCTAAAAGGTACTACGAGCACCCCCGTTCTTTTTATATGGGACTGCCCTTGGGGTGGTAACCTGTTCCAGGCATAATTAATTGGTTCCTGGGGAACATTTGCTGCCCTTTGTGCTTCACCTCAACCAACAGAATGCCTGGAAGAGGCTAGCACATCACCGTGTCCAAGCATCCCAGCCCTGTAGTTTTAAAGTTTATCTGGTCCTGATCATTTTCACCCAAGGAATTTCATTTCTTAGGACCCATCCACTCTACGCTGGAGAAATTTGGAAACCCAACAATGTAATCAGATTTACCGGTCATTTTGGATTTGTGTTTGAGAAAAACTCGGTCAGGGAAATCGCGTAATTATCATGCTGTCATCGATTTCGAAAAGCTTCGTTTTCAAAATGTTTTCCGTCCCCACTAAACCGCAAAGCCGGTGTTTTCAAATTCCTCCGGTTTGAAGAGCGTTTTCGTAAAGTTTCGTGTTCGTGATGAATTAGTGTGAGCGGTAGGCCTAGACGTAGAAATATTAAAGGTTGCGTTTTCAAATTTCTCCGGCGTAGTGTGGACCGTGCTTTCGGGTATGTTTTCTAAATTTCTCTTGAGAGAGTGGGCCAAGCCTCTGCACCAGTTTAGATTAAAAACTGATTTTTCCATATCCTTCATCTGTATTGCCCTTGCACTAGTATTTACAAATGGTTAGGATTATAAAAAGTTGGGAGGGGTGTGGGTGGGGTGTGGGTGTGATATACCCATTGTTAGCGTTTGTAAGAGGTCTGGAAACTACTTCAATCTCTTTTCGACTTCCGTTTGCTTTATTTCCGGTATGTCCGGTAACTCAGCTGAAAGTCACGTGAAGACCTGAGTAAAATGGAGGAGAGCTCCATCTTTTAGTAGTGGGACAAATAGCTTAACTATGTCAGAATTACTCTTTAAAGTGATTATTATAGGTGATGCTACTGTTGGAAAAACAAGCTTTGTTCAACGTTACGTGCATAATCACCCGAGGAGGGAATATAAACCAACCGTAGGAGGTGAGGATATGTGTTTACATTTTCCAACCAACTGTCAAACTTGCGAGGTGATACGTATTTTAAACCAGACATTACGACTGAAACTAATCATTTGTTCTGGCATAAATCCCCGTAACATTTCAAAATTCCAATGATCTTTATGAGTTCGTTCTTCAACGACGTCATGGCAGCAAATAAGGATTTTTTCAACATGTAGACATTTTACCGGTAAATAATCTTTCAGTTTCTATGCATTTTCATGTTTCTTCATCCTCTGGTCTTGTAGATTGATCAGCAATCAATTATCGTGGTATTCAAAGTAACGCTGCAGGTTCATAAATTAAAATATTATATTTGTCAAAAGAGAAATCAAATGAATGCATGCCTTGAACTGTGAACACTTCACATTTTTTTTGCACACCTCTTTGTGGTGACCCAGAATGAGGGTTCTTGTGATTACATAACCATTTATACAATGTAAAAATGCAAGTTCTTATGTTAATATGGAAAGCCTACATGAACTCTAATTGGTCACCAAGAAGATGTGCCATAAATGAATTCAAATGTCAGGTGTTCATGGTCCAGTGTCCAAACTGTAACAAAATCCATTTCCAAGTTGCATTTAGCCTGTTTTTCAAAACGAGTCTAGGTGCGAAACCATTCACATGAAAATGTGTTCAGCCTACAGGTTCATTTTCATGCAAATCAAATTTATTCTTTATGAAAGGTTGTGCATGAGGTTTCATTTTGAAACAGACGCATAAGATACTGTAACTTGGAAATAGCCTATTGATTCATACTGTTTTTGCATTATCAAATTATATGATGCACAAAAGAAGTTTGGAGAGCACAAAAGAAGTGTAAGAGTTGATGCTCATTTCATTTCAACTTGCCTCATGGGCTACATGTACTACTAAAATTATACATGCACTGCAAAACTAATAAGAATATACTGCAGTGATACTCATAGGATTGTATAGATATTAAATAAATAATAACATGTTGTATCTTTACAGTGGATTTTGCTTTAAAAGTCATAAGATTGTCAGATGACACTACTGTAAGGCTTCAGGTGGGTAGATTAACTTACTGTGTCAAGGGAAAGGAAGCTATGGTTACTGGATTATGACAGGGATTGCCTTAAATTTAATTTGTGAAGCACATAGAGAAGTGAAAATCATGCCAAAGTCAACAAAGAAACTGATCTCCCATGTCAGCCTCTTGAGGACTTATGAATAGAGTGGGTAAGTTTTTAGACAAACTGTGGTGCTGCATCAGTGGGGAGTATAACAAGATAATTTGGTTTTATCAACTGGGTTGATAATGTGAATTGAATCTCTTTATGGTGGCCAATTCACATTATCAACCTAGTTGATAAAACCAAATTATCTTGAGGACTTAACTGAGTGAGATGTAGGAGATGTTTTTATCTGATCTTGGAAATATGTCTGAAAATCATCCTCTGCAATGAGCCACAAAGTCTCATTCTAGTGTGTTTCTCTATGTCGTGGAGTCTAAAATCACTTTAAAGCCCTGGTCTTGGATTTTCAAACAAGATTCTCGGCACCCCAGTGAGTCCAGGATTTTACCATTGGTTATGTCTTGTGGGCCTGGGTAATGCTCATAGGGTGGAATTAACACTACAGACCACATAAATTAGACAAACTATGCCATCTGTTGGACAGTGGTTTTTGTGAAAGATATTGTTATCCAACCTTAAATTTTATTAATACCTACTTGTATTTTAGAATGTTAACTAAGTATGAAATTTTCATCTTAGTTACATGACAAATATCTTATTACTCCTGGATATTTATAATTGCATATTCAGAGTGGGATCATGATTTATTAGTAGTAGTCTCAGAGCACTAGATAAATTTGTCTTATTAACTTCAAGGTGATATTTAAATCGTGTTGTTAGGTGAGTGGTAAAGAATTTCTATATGCTTTAGTGTAATCACACTTGCAGGTTAGGATTATTTCCTAATTGACATACTAATTTAACTTTCTTTATCTTGTTTCATGTTGTTGTGGTGCATGGTGAAAGTTATGGGACATTGCTGGTAGGTTGAGTGTGTAATTATTTTATAGTGAAACCTCCACTCAAGGCCACCTCTCTACAATAGCCACTTTATTATGTCCTGGCGGACAGTCCATACATTCACTCTTATTTTAACCTCCCTATAATGGCGACCTCTCCACATCATCAGTGGCCACTGAAGTGCATCCCAACTGCCAATTGAAAATAACTCCCTTGACAAAGGCCAGTTAACCAACAATCAACAAATGGTAAACACCAAACAAAGGAAATCAACGGTTGTGAATATAGGGGCATATCTTCTGCATTTCTCAACTCTTTTTCTCATTGAAAGCTTTACTTTGACTCCATTCCAGGTCAGGAAAGATTTACATCCATGACAAGAGTTTACTACAAAGGAGCTGCAGCCTGCGTTATCATGTTCGATCTCACTAGTCAACAGACATTTAATAGTACAATCAAATGGAAGAGAGATCTGGATAAAAAATGCACACTACCCAATGGAAAGACGATCCCATGTATTTTAGTAGGAAATAAAGTAAGTTAGAAACTCTTTTTTATATAGCAGACTGCTGTACCTTCTGGGAATGGTACTCAAAATAGAATTTAAAATTAAAATCTGACCTTATCCTAAGGCTTCTATGCCAACTGGATTATCCATGTCAGTCTTCCTGAATACAGACCAAGACTCCCGGTCTTGTGTTTGAATCACCAAATCTCCCAGATACTTAAGAGAAGTGCCTATAAATACATTCTCACACTTGTCTTGGCTGATTTTTGGGGGATGTTGAACATTTTGGAATTTTTGGACGCATTTTTGTGGTTGAATTGATTAAGGTACACTTCTTAGGGTTGAGAATCTCTAGGGAAAATTGGTGATCTTCTGGATTTTAGTTGTTTAGGTTGGCATCTCTACTAAGGGTCAGAGTAGAACTTTAATGAACAGGACTTACTAGCACTTAGGAGGAATTGACAAGGAGAAGTACTGTTGACGCTGCCCTTTGGGGAGGGGGCTGTAACAGGGAACCCATGGCATTTGACCAGACTAACCTTAAGGCCATTTCACCCAACCATATTTACTCTCAAGATTATTGATTCCTTTTTTTTTGCTTCATGCTCGCTGGAATAAAGACCAAACAGGAAGTATGCTAACCTTAGTCAATGGGTGGAGAGGAAAGCCCTGTAAAAGTCATTATCAATAACTGTCTTGCCCAAGAATACAATCATTATGATCCCAGACAAAGCAAAAACCCAGAAATTCCAAAATCCCAGTAAGGGATTACATGTATCTCAACATTAAACACTGTTTCTTTCTTTGTCAGAGTGACTTAGCAACAAGGCCTGTTGAAAAAGAGGCAATTGACAGAATGTGCCGAGAGAATGCGTTCCTAGGTTGGACAGAAATGTCTGTCAAGGAAGATATTAATGTCACAGAAACAATGGAGTAAGAACTTATTTAAATGTTCAATTTTATTTGAGGGATAATGAATTCCAAAGTGATATAATGTCTGGTGTTATTTAGTATTAATAAATCTTGTTTATGATGTATTGATGATCGCTTCAAGCGTCAAACTCAAGTAACTGTAGTTTCTATCTTAATGTGTATTTCACTCTTCATGTCAGTATTTGTATTGAGCACTCCTATGATTGTGTGAAACCACTTCTATTTTTCTTTGTTTATACACAAATATGTACAATCATGTTGATAAATGTACAGATAGTTGCTGGTCTTTAAAAGTGGCAAAGAGAAGCTCCAATACTTTGTCAGACATCATTTTTACAAGCACACAGCACTCTAAACAGGTTTTGCACAATTATTTATTGCAAAATTGTGAATTTACGGCCAAATTACAAATAATGTTATCAACATGTAGATATGAAGATTCTGAGATAGCTATGTGTAGTTGTACCTCCCCCTCCAGTGAGAAAAAACATTTTTCTTAGGGGATGGGTGCACCTACATTCAGGCTATTGTGAGAGAGTGTTATATATGTTGTTCCAGAAAATATACATACCCCTCCCATGGAAGGCTTAGTTTGACTTCCCCCCCCCTGGAAATTCCATTATAGCTTCATACTTTTCTTTAAAAATTTTGGTTTTTGAAACCCCACTTCCCCTTGGAATTTCCGTTAGAGGAGAAGGTCACTCCAAAAAAAGTACTTTTTATGTCAATGCTAAGAACAAACTCACACAAAATCTAACCACTCACTCAAAGTTTGAGCCTCTAAAGTGCAGGGTTTCATCTCCAAGGAAACCCAAAATTTGACATTGTTGCTGCCATTTTGAACAGTACTCAGTAGCCACGCTGTGTTTTCGTAATGTTATTCTGTCCAAGGGTTTTTGTCCAGGGCTTCCGACGAGCCTTTTAACTATCAATTTAGGTTATGGCTGCTTGATTATTTTGAACCAAATGTGCTCCAAACCCCAAAAATGATAGCAGCCAAGATAGTGCCAAGTGAATAATCGCTTGAAAAAAATACATTTTGCTGACCTTGTGAGGGGTGCCAAGTTGGTTGTAGGTTTCTCTGCTTCCCACCAATTTTGAGTTGGACAGAATGACATCACATAAACTTGGTCTGGCTGCCAAGTACAGTTTCAAAATGGCATCCTCCAAAGTTGAATTTTGGGCTTCTTTCGAGGCAAATTTCTTCAGGATAGCAGGCACATTGGAGGCTGAAACTTTGGTGAGTGGAAAAACCCAATGTTTACTTGCTATAGGTGGAGAGAAAAAAGTAAGCTTTTTTGAGTGACCTTTTGCAAAATCTGTGGGACTGTGAAAGTATGTGAAAACAAATTTTGCAAGATGTATATTTCTTGAAGGACCATGCTATTCACCACCCAGGAGCTATATATCACTGTAAATGGCTAGCACGGCAACAAAATCTTCACTTCTACTTATCATTGGTTGATAGCACATGATTAAATGTTATGCTATNATGACAGGGATTGCCTTAAATTTAATTTGTGAAGCACATAGAGAAGTGAAAATCATGCCAAAGTCAACAAAGAAACTGATCTCCCATGTCAGCCTCTTGAGGACTTATGAATAGAGTGGGTAAGTTTTTAGACAAACTGTGGTGCTGCATCAGTGGGGAGTATAACAAGATAATTTGGTTTTATCAACTGGGTTGATAATGTGAATTGAATCTCTTTATGGTGGCCAATTCACATTATCAACCTAGTTGATAAAACCAAATTATCTTGAGGACTTAACTGAGTGAGATGTAGGAGATGTTTTTATCTGATCTTGGAAATATGTCTGAAAATCATCCTCTGCAATGAGCCACAAAGTCTCATTCTAGTGTGTTTCTCTATGTCGTGGAGTCTAAAATCACTTTAAAGCCCTGGTCTTGGATTTTCAAACAAGATTCTCGGCACCCCAGTGAGTCCAGGATTTTACCATTGGTTATGTCTTGTGGGCCTGGGTAATGCTCATAGGGTGGAATTAACACTACAGACCACATAAATTAGACAAACTATGCCATCTGTTGGACAGTGGTTTTTGTGAAAGATATTGTTATCCAACCTTAAATTTTATTAATACCTACTTGTATTTTAGAATGTTAACTAAGTATGAAATTTTCATCTTAGTTACATGACAAATATCTTATTACTCCTGGATATTTATAATTGCATATTCAGAGTGGGATCATGATTTATTAGTAGTAGTCTCAGAGCACTAGATAAATTTGTCTTATTAACTTCAAGGTGATATTTAAATCGTGTTGTTAGGTGAGTGGTAAAGAATTTCTATATGCTTTAGTGTAATCACACTTGCAGGTTAGGATTATTTCCTAATTGACATACTAATTTAACTTTCTTTATCTTGTTTCATGTTGTTGTGGTGCATGGTGAAAGTTATGGGACATTGCTGGTAGGTTGAGTGTGTAATTATTTTATAGTGAAACCTCCACTCAAGGCCACCTCTCTACAATAGCCACTTTATTATGTCCTGGCGGACAGTCCATACATTCACTCTTATTTTAACCTCCCTATAATGGCGACCTCTCCACATCATCAGTGGCCACTGAAGTGCATCCCAACTGCCAATTGAAAATAACTCCCTTGACAAAGGCCAGTTAACCAACAATCAACAAATGGTAAACACCAAACAAAGGAAATCAACGGTTGTGAATATAGGGGCATATCTTCTGCATTTCTCAACTCTTTTTCTCATTGAAAGCTTTACTTTGACTCCATTCCAGGTCAGGAAAGATTTACATCCATGACAAGAGTTTACTACAAAGGAGCTGCAGCCTGCGTTATCATGTTCGATCTCACTAGTCAACAGACATTTAATAGTACAATCAAATGGAAGAGAGATCTGGATAAAAAATGCACACTACCCAATGGAAAGACGATCCCATGTATTTTAGTAGGAAATAAAGTAAGTTAGAAACTCTTTTTTATATAGCAGACTGCTGTACCTTCTGGGAATGGTACTCAAAATAGAATTTAAAATTAAAATCTGACCTTATCCTAAGGCTTCTATGCCAACTGGATTATCCATGTCAGTCTTCCTGAATACAGACCAAGACTCCTGGTCTTGTGTTTGAATCACCAAATCTCCCAGATACTTAAGAGAAGTGCCTATAAATACATTCTCACACTTGTCTTGGCTGATTTTTGGGGGATGTTGAACATTTTGGAATTTTTGGACGCATTTTTGTGGTTGAATTGATTAAGGTACACTTCTTAGGGTTGAGAATCTCTAGGGAAAATTGGTGATCTTCTGGATTTTAGTTGTTTAGGTTGGCATCTCTACTAAGGGTCAGAGTAGAACTTTAATGAACAGGACTTACTAGCACTTAGGAGGAATTGACAAGGAGAAGTACTGTTGACGCTGCCCTTTGGGGAGGGGGCTGTAACAGGGAACCCATGGCATTTGACCAGACTAACCTTAAGGCCATTTCACCCAACCATATTTACTCTCAAGATTATTGATTCCTTTTTTTTTGCTTCATGCTCGCTGGAATAAAGACCAAACAGGAAGTATGCTAACCTTAGTCAATGGGTGGAGAGGAAAGCCCTGTAAAAGTCATTATCAATAACTGTCTTGCCCAAGAATACAATCATTATGATCCCAGACAAAGCAAAAACCCAGAAATTCCAAAATCCCAGTAAGGGATTACATGTATCTCAACATTAAACACTGTTTCTTTCTTTGTCAGAGTGACTTAGCAACAAGGCCTGTTGAAAAAGAGGCAATTGACAGAATGTGCCGAGAGAATGCGTTCCTAGGTTGGACAGAAATGTCTGTCAAGGAAGATATTAATGTCACAGAAACAATGGAGTAAGAACTTATTTAAATGTTCAATTTTATTTGAGGGATAATGAATTCCAAAGTGATATAATGTCTGGTGTTATTTAGTATTAATAAATCTTGTTTATGATGTATTGATGATCGCTTCAAGCGTCAAACTCAAGTAACTGTAGTTTCTATCTTAATGTGTATTTCACTCTTCATGTCAGTATTTGTATTGAGCACTCCTATGATTGTGTGAAACCACTTCTATTTTTCTTTGTTTATACACAAATATGTACAATCATGTTGATAAATGTACAGATAGTTGCTGGTCTTTAAAAGTGGCAAAGAGAAGCTCCAATACTTTGTCAGACATCATTTTTACAAGCACACAGCACTCTAAACAGGTTTTGCACAATTATTTATTGCAAAATTGTGAATTTACGGCCAAATTACAAATAATGTTATCAACATGTAGATATGAAGATTCTGAGATAGCTATGTGTAGTTGTACCTCCCCCTCCAGTGAGAAAAAACATTTTTCTTAGGGGATGGGTGCACCTACATTCAGGCTATTGTGAGAGAGTGTTATATATGTTGTTCCAGAAAATATACATACCCCTCCCATGGAAGGCTTAGTTTGACTTCCCCCCCCCTGGAAATTCCATTATAGCTTCATACTTTTCTTTAAAAATTTTGGTTTTTGAAACCCCACTTCCCCTTGGAATTTCCGTTAGAGGAGAAGGTCACTCCAAAAAAAGTACTTTTTATGTCAATGCTAAGAACAAACTCACACAAAATCTAACCACTCACTCAAAGTTTGAGCCTCTAAAGTGCAGGGTTTCATCTCCAAGGAAACCCAAAATTTGACATTGTTGCTGCCATTTTGAACAGTACTCAGTAGCCACGCTGTGTTTTCGTAATGTTATTCTGTCCAAGGGTTTTTGTCCAGGGCTTCCGACGAGCCTTTTAACTATCAATTTAGGTTATGGCTGCTTGATTATTTTGAACCAAATGTGCTCCAAACCCCAAAAATGATAGCAGCCAAGATAGTGCCAAGTGAATAATCGCTTGAAAAAAATACATTTTGCTGACCTTGTGAGGGGTGCCAAGTTGGTTGTAGGTTTCTCTGCTTCCCACCAATTTTGAGTTGGACAGAATGACATCACATAAACTTGGTCTGGCTGCCAAGTACAGTTTCAAAATGGCATCCTCCAAAGTTGAATTTTGGGCTTCTTTCGAGGCAAATTTCTTCAGGATAGCAGGCACATTGGAGGCTGAAACTTTGGTGAGTGGAAAAACCCAATGTTTACTTGCTATAGGTGGAGAGAAAAAAGTAAGCTTTTTTGAGTGACCTTTTGCAAAATCTGTGGGACTGTGAAAGTATGTGAAAACAAATTTTGCAAGATGTATATTTCTTGAAGGACCATGCTATTCACCACCCAGGAGCTATATATCACTGTAAATGGCTAGCACGGCAACAAAATCTTCACTTCTACTTATCATTGGTTGATAGCACATGATTAAATGTTATGCTATTGTTTGTTTTCAGCTACTTATTAACAGAACTGATGGACAACTACAGAAAAGATGAAGAAAAAGATGTACAAAACAAAACAGGGGCTGAGCAAGGAGGATTTATTGAACTCACCAGCCACAAGACAGCAAAAGAAAATACTGGCAAATTGTCCTGTTGTTCAAGTTCATAGGATGATGAAAAACCTCTCTCAGTGTCCAGTTTGCTTTGTTGACAGTTCAGTTCTCCTTTCTGACCTCCATTTATTAATTCTGTGTAACAATTATATTATGAGCTCAAGATTTCTATCATGTGTAGAGATTGAGAGCAAATTAGCTAATTGTTTTAGTATAAATCTACTAGTCGTTTCAAAACTTTATTTAAATTCTCTTCACAGACACTTTGAAAATGTAAGGAAGCGGCCCCAACATTAAGCTACTCATTATCTACAACAATAGATAGTGTAAGTAGTTAGCCAATCAGAGAACAGCATTCGTGATAGAATGCTAGTATAAGATTGATACTAATTAGTTGGTAGAATTTGATGGTTTAAATGGAAAATCAACCCTTTGGCCCAATGATATACATATTAGCCTAAAAGATCTCATTACGGGTCGTCTCCATACACTTCTTATTTTTAATAGTCCTAATTGGAAGATTTTAAGGAATATATGTATCAACGCCCTAGCTCTGTTTTCCTCTACAAATTCTCCTTACAGGTCTCCATTCATTCCTTATAGTGCTAGTTGAGAGAATATAATGATGTAGTAACCTTTTAAGCCCCTAAAGTCAGCATAAAAATTCTCTCTGTTACTTCTGTCTCCTTTAGAGTGAGCTAAAAAAAAGACCTTCACAGAAGAGGATGCCTAATAATTGTTTAGGGGGAGAGGTCATGGAAGAAATTAGGATAAAAATTAAAATGTATTATTATAAAGTACAAATTACTTGTTTATAAACCCAGGGGGGTGGGGGAGGTTACTCCCAGATAAATTGGGCGAGGGTGTGTGGCCCACGTCCCAAAATCCTTACCCTATTTAAGACCAAAATCAGTGATTTTCCCTACCTTATTTAGAACCTGACAAAAATTTTGATACCCTATCGAAGACCAGACTCTTAGATCAATACCCTCTTTCAAACCTGTCTCATAATTAGTTACTTAAACCAGACCAGTGTTAAAGACATTGTGAAGGGCTTTTGTTGATGGTCTTATTATTGAAAATGACAGAAAAGTAGCTTCTTCTGTAAAAAGCAAATTCAAAACATGAGTGCAAAACCATACCCTATTTGAGACTAGAATGACCAAAATTGATACCCTATTTATGACCAAAATGTCTAAAACACCATTCCCATTGGGGCTGCACATGCCTATATAACCCATATAAAAGAGTACTCCCCCAATTGGGTTTCAAACTAAGGAAATTTTGGTATTCACAAGCAAACGTTTCACCCCCAATCATGTAGATAATTTTCTTGCTTTTGTTGTATCTATTTGCCTTGTTACACCTACATGTACTGTACATGTATGCTCAATTTTGCCTGGCCTTACTTGAGGGAATTACAAAGATTCTCTTTTGGAATGCTCATATATTTGTTATCCCAAGTGAGAGATAAATAATTCTTAAATTCAGGCCAAAATATTTGGGGGGCTTCTTTATTTGATCAAGTAAGCAGGCTGGCTCTAGACAAGATCACTAGATGTCAGAAGATTAGATAGGCATTTTGGCAGGCAATTTGTTCAATTTGTCATACAAAACTTACATGTGATAGCAAAACAAGGTCTACATGGAAATTCTCTATAGTTATGTACACATTGAAAGCAACCGACGGTTGATTAATTTAGAACTTTCATCTAGATAAGTGCAAGACCAGGGGTGCTTTCCATTTGGCCAGAAATTCTGGATCTTTCAACATGGGGGCAAATTGTATGGAAATTTCCTGGGAAGGTTTCTGGAAATCCAAGAATTGTTGAATTTCCAAAATGTTAACCATTTAACTGAAAATTCTGGAAATTGCAGAAGCAAAATCAAGTGGGACAGAAATGGAAAGGAATGTTTGGAAAAGTTTGGTATACCTTCTGAGGTTTTCTCACTTTCGGGAAATTCTAGAAAATTTTGTTCGCGAATACACCACTGGAAATGTCCAGAAATTCAACTAGAATTTTTGATCGAATAGAAAGTGCCCAGAGTTTGAATTATCCATAAGCTTGACAAGCCTACCCTACATGTGTTGCCTCCGTTTAAATATAATTGATTACCAAATTATGTCATATAAGACTACAAGATACATGTAGTGTAGTATCTGATTGGCTATTGTCCGAACATGATTGACAAGTTCCAATCATATTTAGAGACTCTCTCCCAGCATGTTAGCTTGCTGTCATTGAGGGCTACAACCCATAACACCTGTTAATGGCTGAGTATGCTTGGTATGCCCTTGATGATAAATGGGTGAACTTGCCTTTGGATATAATTCACCCACAAAGTAACAAGTGTGTTTTAGGTGTGAAGATCACAGCAACAGGTGACTTAAGACTTAATGGCTGTACTGAGTATGGAGTTTTTTTACTTAATTTGTTCAAGTTGTTATGTTTCCTTTGTATGGGTCAAGAACTGAGTGTACAACAAGAAATATTTATTTTTTAATCTAAAATTAAAAAACATTTATAGAGAGAAGTGTATAAGAAACAATTATATGTAGATTTTATTTTTATGAAATAACAAAAGAATCAGGGTTTTTAATAAAAATCTGCATCATGTTATATAATGTGATCATTTACTAGCTTATTACCAGAAGATTATAGAAAGCTGTTTATAACAAACTTTTGTACAAAAAGGAAAGACCAAAACATGCGCTGTGCTATTTCCAGAACAAAAAAGACAAATTTTCATTGTCTAATATATGCATATTAATTTGTCATAATTTGTACTATCCAGCGTCATACTTAGCTAGTTTGTCCTAAGGTCATTAGTTTTTCCAGGGGGGAACTCCCACATAAAAAAGGACAGGGATGCTTGCCAGAAATTTTGAAAAGAACCCCCAAGAAGTACCACATTCCTGTTTTGTGGGCGTGGCTTGAAATGTTTTCACCCCTAGGAGGTACCAATTCTAAAACAACACATCATCTCCTAATAGGTACCAGAAAAGCTCCCACTGTGGACCTTTTGAGGCTGAATACCTTAGGAGGTACCAAAACCCCAGGGGGAGGGGGCACTAACATATATGGGCTATATAGGTATGTGCCGCTGTGAAGGGTATGGTTTTCAAGCAGTTTACNTTTTGCATGCTTGTTTTTTACTATGCTGTTGTTCAAAGCCTGGGACGTAGTACAAGGAAAGAGAAAGTCTAATTGCTGACAGTTTCAAAGAAGAAGAGAAGGAATAAAGTCATAAAGTTGTCTGTCATTATTGTAAATGAAGGTATTCTGTCTTCAGCTCAGCCTCTAGGTGAGGGGAAATTGGTGTGAATTTTATGCCCTATACCCCAGGGATTAAGTAGGTTTTTGTTTGATCCTGAAAACAAATCTCCGGGGGGTCAACCCCCAGGAAAGCCAATGATGAGTGCATAAGTTCACGTGCCCCCGTTCCATTTACAGGCTAAAGGGTTTTCTATGAAAGATTGGCTCAGGGCTTTGTTTATGTGCAATGTGATTCCTTTAGGAGAATGAGACAACTGCGCACAGCTAAAGTGTATTTCTGTTGCTGTTTTTTTGTCCAAAAAAATCCCAGAAATGTCTTCAATGCTAGATAAATGTGTCCCAGACAAGTTAGACTGCGAGCGGTCTCTTACTCGAAGATGCGCGAGGGGAGAAGCGCAAACGAACAGAGCTCCTCTTCTCATTCGTTCTCATTCTTCCCTCGCGGATTTATGAACTAACGAGAGACTGCTCGCGGTCTCCCGGTAAATCAGTTCAGCGTACTTTCACCCTTGGGGGGGTGGCACTGCCATATATGGGCTATATAGGTATGTGCTGCTGTGAAGGGTATGGTTTTCAAGCAGTTTACTCTAGGATAGGGTATATAAATCAGAGCGTCTGGGTCTAGAATAGGGTATCATTTTTCCTACAACTGAGTAGTTGGTTGAAGATTTTATCTACACTAAGGAAACCAGGAATTGCCACTCAAAAATATAAAAAA